TGAATGGTTTTTACAAATGGAGACTAAAAAAAAAAACCTTTGATTATCGACTCACAGAAAGTCACGGGGTTGCCAGACCCATCCCCAGGGGCCCGGTTACGTGTCACGCTCCTGGGGACATTGTTCTTGATCCCTATGGGACGATAGGGGAGCCGGGATGCCAACCTGGGAACATGCTGATCGTGAGGCCACAGACATCATTAAAGTGAAAAATGTCACCGAATGCCATCAACTGAAGTCGACGCATTTCCCCGAGGCATCGCCCTACAGGCACAAAGCATTGCACGGGGCTTACGTGTCACTTACGGGCCGAGCCAAAAACGTTTACGGACAACCACGTCTGAACGCAGTTCTGGGAGAAACGTTCAGCCCAAGTGTCACGTGTTCCTGGCACCACATGGTCACTCTCCCCGGACGGACCAGCCCTCCTAGATTTACGCGAAAGGGGTCTCACCTCACCACGGCGCTCAGGGCGGGGGGCCCTGTGCCGTATTTCCAGGAATTGTTGAGTGCGGACAAGGGCTTGCACACTGGGCTGCTTGGTTTAGAATCGGCGTTGCCCAATAAGGGTGCGTGTGAAAACATCGGAAGCTCGAATCGGCCCCACGCACAGAATGCCCAGTGTGGGTGTGCACGCGTGAGGCCAGACCCTGCCACGAACACAGGGCCAGGCCAGGTGGGACGCTGGGAGGGCGTGAGTCTCAGGTGGGCACAGGCGTAGGCAGCAGCCTCTGGAGGGCAGCAGAGCTGTCACAGCAGATGGCCTCAAAGTGGCCCCCCGTTTCCGGATCCGGGGGACCCTTCCCCAATGCTGGCCTTCTGGAACCAGTGAGTCCTTCTGGGTGGCAGGCTGGACCCTCCTGCGGTCTTGTGACCCACCGTGACAATGGCCCTGAGCCCCTGGCAGACGGGGCAGCTGCGGGCAAGGAATGACTCATGCTCAGAGCTCGAAAGTCGTTCTCACTTGAGGACACACCTCAGCATGTGCTTTCTGGGGAGCCCAGCCCAAGACACTTCCTCTCCTCACAGAAGAGAACCTCACTGCGTATGTGTGTGCGCATGTGTGTGCGCGTGTGTATGTGTGCGTGTGTGTGTGTGCGTGTGTGTGCGTGTGCGGTATGTTGGCGTGTGCACAGCTCCCCCCGCCTCAGAGGAAGTGCTGTTCACTGCGAGCCAGCCCACAGCTCCCCCCACCTCAGAGGAAGTGCTGTTCACTGCGAGCCAGCCCGAGTCACCAGTGTCTTTCCGTCCCCCAGGCTGGAATGCGCGAGCCCGCGAGCCCGCGAGCCCAGCCCTGTCCAGCTTCAAACCCCGTCTCCCTCCCTGTTCCTCCCGGCCTCTCTTGAAAAAACCCAAACGCACAATCCCTAAAGCAGCAAAGTCCACTTTCGAATCCGAGCACAGGGCTTCGGGACAGACTGGGAAACAAGCGGGCACTGCAGGGCGCCCCCCTCCCGAGCCCCCGAGCCCCCTCTGCCGCCAGCTCCGTCACTAGGCTGTGTTCCTGGTTTGCCC